GTGCACGCAACAGGATTCGAACCCACCACTCTCTCTAGTTCTGCGCTTCGAAACCACTGAGCCATGCGAACCTTATCCACTTACCCTCAAATTTCACTAAAATGTGAAAAACGAATAAATCCCCAATACAAGTGCATAAGGATTTCAATATAAGTCTCATTTGTACGGCAATCCCAGTCCCTCCTCATCATGGTCTTAGAGTGCTTCAGGATGAGGCAGTGATGCTCTAAAAATGCACCGAAGGCACCAGGAATGCCCATTGGAACTCAACGTTCCTCTTCACGTACGAACACGTGGAATTTGACGTAGTCCACAAACAAGGCAGTTGGGTTGCCAGAAATCTTTGCCATAATTTGTCTCAATTCGTTTAGCTAGAAGCCCCTAGCCCCTCCTCACTTTTACAGAAGAAACGAACGTTAGGATCGCCAGTCATTGACCAACAAGTGATCGATGCAGTACTGATCAAAGCAAATGGAGAAGTTGCCAGCTGCATCCCAGCTGATTCGAGCATCCGACACTTATTATCACAGTATTCAGTGCTTGTCTAACCCTCAAAATGAGAATGTTTCTTACCCATAAATCATCACCAACGAGATACGAATCGAGATAATTGACAATATTGGCATGCTTATTCTCACGCATAACAAGAATCTCGTTAATTATGAGCTCCTTCTTGGGCTGTTGTGTTAAATTCATCTGCTTTATTGCTACCTCCGCACCTGTACTGATCTCAATTGCAGTGAACACCGATCCCGAGGCCCTGAAAAATTACAATGTTTTGGTGTTGGTACTCAAACAACTTATATTTATAGTAGCCGTACAGAACGATGGCACACATATGGTACTTATTTAGAAGCGATCAAATGTGGTGATACTTGAGTTTTTGCCCTAAAATCGTGAAACGACAAACAGCTCATTATAATAGCTATAATTTATACCTAGCAGCAATTTATGATTTTATAAATTCTTAATTTCTATGGCCAAAGTCCCGCACTCTCTGATTCAAATCTCAGTACCGCTACAATCAATGTAAGCAGAAAGTTAATAGTTTGGTAATATCTTGCCAACAAAACACCATACATTCAGCAACAGTTGTTATCAAAAGTTAAAACCCAAGTCTTCTTCATGGACCGAATAAAGAAAATCCTACAAACGAGGATTAAGAAAAAAACAGTTAAAATTTTACCCGGAACCAATTTTATCCACTTTTTGATATTTCCGATCCGGATTACCAATCGTAACAATTGTTCGCAATTTTGCCAAAACTTCCGCATCCGAGATCTTTTTCCGTCGTCCAGTTGATCGATTACAAAGGCCAAAATGTCCGCCAGTTATTAAAGTATTGCTCAGTGACAATTCCAGCTTCTCATCTTCAGTTTTTGGCTTTGTATACTAAATTTAAAATCTCATAACCATAGCAGCACTGAAAAATTTCGGGAAAGGAAAAAAAACCTAAGCAATAGTTACTCTTTGGATAGCATTTATAATTCTGCCTAAACCTAACAAGTAATTTCGCATTTAACATAAAATTATTATTATTTATTACTATTTATCATTATTTATCAACATTCCTCGAGCAAATTTATCATAAGTACGCAGTACCATGATTACCTTTTCCCTCTCCCAGATATTTTTCCATTTAAAATTAGCTTAGAAACATCAGCATAATTATCTCATTTAAATCCAATAATCCAATGGTCATTAGGTATGAGCAAAGGGAAATTCGCTTTTATTTAGATGAAGAGGGGAAGCAAATAAACGAAAATCAAGAGCATCAG